TTGCCAGCAAGTTAAGGCAGAACATCAGCATCCAGCGGGGTTATTGCAGCCACTTTCCATTCCAGAATGGAAATGGGAACACGTGACTATGGATTTTGTGGTAGGGCTACCACGAACTGTGAGGAACTATGATGCCGTATGGGTTGTGGTTGATAGGCTCACGAAGAGTGCACATTTTTTACCTATCAACACTACCTATGCACTTGAGAGATTAGCCAAATTGTATGTGGATGAGATCGTGAGGCTACATGGGGTTCCTATAACCATTGTATCCGACAGGGATCCACGATTCACATCACGATTCTGGCCGAAGTTCCAGGAGTCCTTGGGAACGAAGTTGAAGTTCAGCACTGCTTTTCATCCCCAGACAGATGGGCAATCCGAGAGGGTTATACAGATTTTGGAGGATATGTTGAGAGCTTGTGCATTGGAGTTCCAAGGAAGTTGGGACAACCATTTAGCACTTGTGGAGTTTGCCTATAACAACAGTTATCAGGCAAGTATCGGCATGCCTCCATACGAAGCATTGTATGGGAGGAAATGTCGTACACCGTTGTGTTGGGATGAGGTTGGCATGGCCAAGCTCGAGAGCACGGAATTGGTGGAGATCACCAAGTCAAAGGTGAAGGTAATTCGAGAGAGGCTTAAGGCGGCCCAGGATAGACAGAAGAGCTATGCCGATAAACGCCGGAGAGCCTTAGAGTTTAAGGTGGGAGATGAGGTATTCTTGAAGGTTTCACCCTGGAAGGGAATCATCCGATTTCAGAGCCGAGGGAAACTTAACCCACGATATATTGGGCCATTTGTGATTCTTGAGAGAATTGGGGCCGTAGCATATCGATTGCAGTTGACTCCAGAACTGGAGAAGATACATAACGTGTTCCACGTGTCTATGCTAAAGAAATATGTGCCGGATCCATCTCACGTGTTAGAGAAACCACCTGTGGAAATACGTGAAGATTTGAACTACGCCGTACGACCGGTGAGGATACTTGATAGGCAAGTAAAGAAACTAAGAAGCAAGAAAGTTCCAATGGTTAAAATCCTATGGAAAAGTGACCGAGTTGAAGAAGAAACTTGGGAAACGGAAGCCTTAATGAAGGAGCAATATGCATTTCTGTTTGAATAAGCATTTGTGAATTTCGGGGACGAAATTCCCGTTAAGGGGGGGTGAACTTGTGACACCGCACCCGAATGTACTTGGAATTTAAAGATGTTATGTATTTGAATTTCCTAACGAATAAAAATTCGTGTAATTGATTGGAATATTTAATTAATGTGAGATTAATTAAATTATTTATCGGGTCCATTATATGGGAATGGGCTACCAAATGTTTAGTTGGGTCATCGTAATAATTATAGAAGCCCAATAAAGTGCCAACTAAAGTTGATAAAAATATTTGGACAACCTGAGCGCTATTTTGACCCGACCGGCCAGAAATAGCAGGAATAATTGGGAGAGATTTCCTACACCCACTTGGGATATTCTACACACTAATTAGACTCAAATAATATGGGAGGGGGACCACACAATTTGGATGGTGCGGATGATTGGGAGGAGAAGTCTCCTAGAGACAAACTCACACCCCATGTTTCAATTCCCACACATTATTGGGAAGTTGATTGAGAAGGCATCTTTCATCCTTCATCCTCAACCATTCAACCAAAGCCAAGAGAGGGAGAGAGAACTCTAGCAAGCTTCACACGAGCTCAAGGAAGAAGGAAGACCCAAGGAGAAAAGAATAGTTTTGAGGTAAGAACTCCATAAACATCCTTTAACTAGTTTTGTGTGGTATGATTTTTGAGAAATCATATGATGGATTAAACCACGAGTTTTACACGTTTAAAAGTGTATAATATTGTTATAAAGTGGTGGTATTTAACTTAGAAGAGTCGTGGAACCGATAGGAGTTGAAACCGCCGGAAACCGCCAAGTGTAGGAGGCTGTTCGTAGCAGCAGACGACGAAAGCCGCCCAGCTTTCGTGAAAGCCGCCCGGCTTTCACCTTCTGCCCAGATTTTTCGCTTTCGATCGGTTCAGAACGGGGATTGATCGGAGGGCTTAACAAAGGCAAATATTTCAGCACTTCATAAGGTGAGGATGGCTGACTATATTGCTTATAATCTTTGGGTTAATTTCATAAGATTACCTAAAGTAATTAAATGTGATTTTCATGGATTATTAATGATTAATAATGCCTAAATGAAAATATCATTGTTTGTGAATAGAAAATGCATAACATACAAATTTATGAGGAAATTGTGTATGACGATGCATAATAAATGTGGAGGTATAATGATTGTATAAACCATGAATATTTGTGATAAAATATACTTTTACTTCATGTATAGAGATCATGAATGGATAAAAGTGATATTTTTGATATTAAGATTAAATCGTATGCGGATTAGAAAATCCATAGGAATGAGCCTTATAACTATGAGTTAAGGAGCTTGGCTGTTTAAAGATTTATGGATTAGTAATTAATTCACTAATCGGGAATGTTGTATAAAAAGTGATAGAACAAATTAATCCTAAGGACTTGGATTGTGAAGGATGCACCTTAAGTAGTCTTATGAGATGCCTTAAGGTAGGAATGGGTAACCACTAAGTTACATTAGGAGTAGGCCTCATTGGCTACTCAAGATTGAGGAACTCTAGGCATAGAATTTGCTAGTGAGTTAGTATCGTGACTAGAGGAAGCCTCTAGCACGATTAAGAATGACTGGAGGAAGCCTCCAGCATTCGTGTAGGACGACTAGAGGAAGCCTCTAGCGTAGTGTAGGATGACTAGAGGAAGCCTCTAGCATAATGTAATGTGACTGGAGGAAGCCTCCAGCACAAAGTATGTAAGGTGATTAGAGGAAGCCTCTAACACCGAATTTAGTGACTAGAGTAAGCCTCTAGCACGGCAAAACATGACTAGAGGAAGCCTCTAGCATGGTGAATTAATATAGATGGGCGTGGCTTGAAGTCACGGGGAAAGGGTTGAACGTTTTCAAAGTAAAACATGGGTCTTCGGGCCGACTACTTGACTTTATATGTAAAGTAAGTATATTTTTAAAGAGGGTAACCACGGGTTATGACCTATATTATATTATCACCCTATGTGAGGGTCTTGGAAATTGAAACTTTGATTATACTTAGTATAGTTGTCATTGTACTTGTCAAATGCTTCCAAGTACTGACCTCCCCTTCACGGGGGAGGCCACCTCACAGTTTCAGGTAGGACTTGAAGGTTGCTACCGCCGCCGTTGCTTCGGGGAGATTCAAGGGAGGAGACGTGGTTCGTGCTTCTTCCGTTCCTGTTTTGAAAACATTTTAAACATTGCTCATGGATATTATTTTTGAATAATTATTTGGGGGCTTGTATGCCCATGTTAGCCAAAGTGTGGCATAAACACATTATTAAATGTTTCCGCTGCTTTAATTAACTATTTTACATTATGATTGTTTATGGATGTACTATTGTGAATGGTATTCAAGACGCCTTGTATAGTATGGATGAGTTGGACTGCGGTTGACTATTCGTACTGTACGGCGGGTTGTTGACGTGTCCGGGTAGGTCCGGGGCGTGACAAATAAGGCAAAAGGTTACTTCTTTGAGCTGACCAGCATTAATGACAAGTTGTGAAGCCGTCGGGTCGGATCCGTCAAGTCAAACCGTCCATAACGGACAACTCGAGCTAATGGAGCATTCACAAGGCCTAATGACAGTTATTGTAACGTCTTTATGTATTGTTAGCTTCTTTAATATGATTAATGAGGATATTGATTGTAATGGACCAGCCTTTATGACAGATTTGAAATCGTCATAAAGTGCGACCAACCCGTCAGTAACGTGTAAAGTCATCATTAGAGCTTTAATTACCTTTCCTATAAATAGGATAGCCTCATTGTAATCAGGGGTGCTCACATTCGAATAACACACGAGTTTGCATTCTTATTCTCTCACTTGTCATTTTCTTCATTCCTCTTGTTCGAAGCCCATTCTTCATATAAATTCTTTTTTTAATTAGTTTTAGTTTATCAATAAAATTGCTTAAACAAATGCTATAAAAATGACATTGTAAAAATGACAATGTCAATGATTATTATAATCATGATAATGTTATAAAAATGACATTGTAAAGATGACAATGTCAATGACTATCGTAATTATGCCAATGCTACAAAAATGACATTCTTAAAAATTGTGACAATGTCATGACAATGACATAAAAACGTGGAAATGTCAATGACAATTTCATAACAATGTCAATCATTATAAAAAAGAATTGTTAAAAATAATCCTAAAACTATAAAATATTAGTTTTATAGAAGAATAATGTATTATAATGTCATTATATATTAGATCACAATATTATTGTATGAGAGTGTCATTGTCAAAACAAGTGACATTGTCGTGACAATGACAATATATCAGTGACAATGCTATAAAAATGGCATTGTAATAATGTCAACAATGATGTCAATTATTATTAAAATGACATTGTTAAAAACAATGTCAATGCTATAAAAAGTCATTACTTTTATAGAACAGTACGTTGTACATATTAACCATTTATTATAATGTTATTATATCAGAATGTACTATAATATACAATATCATTATGTTATTAATGATGTAATTGTTTGAAAATTTATCAAACAAAACAAAAGGTTTGTAGTGACAAAAGTTAAAATATACTCCCACCGTCCCAATTTGATGGTCTCATTTCTTTTGGGCACAAGTTTTAATAAAGTGGTTGAAAAGGTGAAAGTTGTGGTTGAGATTTGAGTAGAAAAAAGTGAAATGATGTGAATCACGTCTTTCTTTTTAAAAAGGGAAACATGACCATCATTTTGAAACATCCCAAAAAGGAAATACGGGACCATCATTTCGGGACGGAGGGAGTATTGTAATGGCAAGTAAAATTAAACAAAAACTGAAAAAGAAGGGATGATACTACGTATTTTTTTATAACAATAATAGAGTTATAGAACAGCCCACCAGAGTAGATCTATTGCAACATATGAGTAGATCATAAACAAAATCCCGTATTTTTGCACTCCATACAACTGAAAAACTTAGGGTCTGTTTACTAACAAAGATATTTTCCTGTTTTATACTTCTGTTTTTCGTTCTCCAACTTTCTGTTTTTATTTTTTAGTTTTTCTCTCTCCAATTTTCTGTTTCTATTTTTTAGTTTTCCATTTTCAAATCTGAAGACATGTTCATCAATTTTTTCACCCAGTGCTGTGATTATCTAGAAGAATGAGGACACGTTTACTTCACGGATTAATAAATGGTGCTTATTAAGACCCGTGTTAATAAGCGGCGCATAAAATAAGCAATATTGTAAGATCATGTTTACTTCAAAAAGTTTAGAGAAAATGAAAATTGCAAAACAAAAAAAAAAAAAAAAAAGAAGTAAAAGTGAATAGCAGATGCATAAATCAAAATTTCACTCGCTATCTCGAGGAATCTCCATATGATCATCTATATAAAAAGTAATTTGCAGCACCAATTGATCGCAGATCCACAAAGAAGAAGAAAAAGCTTCACCAACAACCAGGGCCTTTTGCTGCGACTGCCACGGTGTTGTGTTTACTTCGTTGGGTCGGCGGCGGCGGAGGATCTTCTCTTTGGTGCCACATCTGCAGCGCTGCTATGCCTCAGCTCCTCCATCCAGTCCCATGAGCGTCCGGCGATGAGGTGATTTCTAGGTGGTCTTTTTTCCCGGCGATTGAAGTTCCTAAAGTTAATCTCCGCCATAAGTTTTCGTAGCTGGAGCGCCGCCTTAGACTCATATGTCCCATGTTCTATTTTATGCTTCGTTGGGAAGAGCAGAGGAGGAAGTCATATCGGCGTAATAAGAGGTTGTCCAGAAGAGAGGTGATAGGAGGAGATATTAGCGGAGTAAATTAGTCGGAACACATTAAATTAGTCGGATTAAAAAGATGTAGGTCCTATTTGCTTACATCAACTTAATTGTAGTCCTATTTATGAACATTTCTCTATATATATACACATTTCCAAAATAATATATATATATGTGTGTGTATACACATAGTAACCCAGAACTATAATGGACTGAACTTTTACTTACTCATGCACAAAGTAAGCTGCAATGGCGAGGCATTTCACTCTAGCAGTTGTTGGAAGAAGGTCTCGGAACCTATCGCAATGAATCATTGCAGCCAACCCCCCTGCCGAAACTCCACCAAGAAGTGCCTATAAATTGTTTCTTTTTGTTATTGTTATATTATTATTATGCTACTAGTATTTCTTTTGGCAAGAATATACTCCATCTGATTCAAAAACAAGTGCCACCTTTCTTTTTCGGGCAGTTCCAAAAAAAGTTGCACTTTCAAACCTTTACTTATTTGGCAAATTATCTACATCAAAATTGTTCCAAACAGTGCCAAATAGTGTCCAAATAGTGTCAAACAGTGTACTCCACAAAAAAGTCAAATTTCTTTTCTTAATATGTGTAAAGTCAAATGTGGAACTTGTTTTTTAATGGGAGGGAGTAACAAAAAAAGATGTTTCTCACATATATGTGTATAGGGTGTGTGTATAAGAAAGGGTTATTATATCAATATAACTCTTGTACTTTAATTTTCATCTATTACACCCTCTCACTTCCTAAATTTCATCAAATCCGATTTTTTATAGTCACTTTTTAAAGTTGGTCTAATCTATTCAAGTCGTGTATGATCTGATCTTGTCTAGTGTGACTGAAATATATAAGTCTAATGGAAAACATAAGAGTGTGGAAGTCTACAAAAATGTGACTAGTGACTAGAGGAGTAAAGATATCGTAGTAATTTATGTTTAAGTTTAAAATTTATTTAAGTTAACATGATGTGATATTGTAGTAACTAGTAATAATCATATTTGCGTAAAGAGGCAAGGGTCAGATTGGTACTTGAAGTTGCCTAAAAAGGGTCAAATAAGTCTTTATTGTCCGTCCGTCGCCATTTGAGGCGGTTCTCGGTGAAATTTTTTGATGAAATTTTTTGAACATCTTATTCATTAAGTCTAGTTTACTCATATCAAATTTCACCGAAAACTTCTATTGGGAAGGCATTCAAATGAACTCTTGAAGATAACTGCGCTTTTAACTGCGCAGTTATATTCACGAATTCATTTGAATGTGTTCCCGGTTGATTTTTTAGCTGAAATTTGGTATGAGTAAACTAGACTTAATGAATAAGATGCTAAACAAATTTCGTCAACAAATTCCACCGGAAACCGCCCCAAATGGCGACAGCCGGACAAAACCTTCTATATAAGACCATTTGTAGTGGTTAAGGATTAGGAGTCAAAAGATTAAATTTGGAAGTTTTAGACTCTTATTTGTGTGTAGTGGGGGATTAAAAGAGATAGTAAAAGTGGGAAGGGGAGTGGAGGAGTGTAAAAATAGAGGGAGGGATAGACAGAGCAAAAATAAATGAAAAAGTAAAGAAAATAGGGGGACCAGCCCACCTGCAGCTTCGTACGCTGCGCAGAGCTGCAAAGAAAACATAGCTGACATCATGGTGACGTGATGATGATGTCACCGCGCACTAAATTAATGCTCAAACGGCCAAATTTTGTTTTAAAAAAAAAAACTTGATCCAACGGTTGAGATCATTTTGACACTGTTCCAACAGCAAAAAAAAAACGATCCAACGGCCAAAATTAAAATCTAACGGTTCAAATTATTTATTTTATTTTTCAATTATTTTAAATAATATTTGATCAGAAAATTCTATACAAACACCCTTATTCTTCCTATTTTGATCACACCTCTCCCATCTATCTCATTCTTCTTCATATTTTGTTTAAATTCCATGTGTTTTTATTTCACTCATCCATTTTTTTTAGTTAATAGTCGATACTTAATAAATATTTGGAAATATTACTAAGTTTGAGAAGAGAAGAGAATGTGCTATTACTAAGTTTCGATACTAACTTAGAAAATAATTCAATGTGCTATGGATAGATACACAACTTGAGAAGAGAATCCAATGCTCCAATGTGCTTGAACTCAGTTTGTAAATCGAAAAACGTAAAAAAAATTAATTATTTACATCGAAATGTGTAGTTTTTTATTTTATAATTATTCACGGAAAAAATTAAAAGTAAAACATTACTAATAATAATTTAATTAATGTTTTACTAAATTGATATGTAAAAAATATGCAGAGTGTATTTTATTGACGGTGCACAGATGCAGAGAAAAACAGTATTGACGGAGTCTAAACACTGTTTTCATATGAACGGAGTCCAAATTTAATAATTTGGACTCTTCACCACTACAAATGGTCTAAAGACTTATTTGATCTTTTTTATGCAAGTTCGAGTACCAATCTGATCCTTACCTCTTTGCGTAAATAAGTTTTACTCCGTATTTTAGTACGAAGTACTCCGTACTATTTTTGAAAAAGCCTTATATAGTTATTGTAATACTACAAAAACAAAATAGTTTCAATTCTTATCTTACATTTTGAGCATCCTTCATTCCGTTATACAGCAGATCATCCATTGTGGCATCAAAAACTCTCAATCCTCTGTAGGTTACATTAGTAACCTTTAAAAGTGAATAAAATATTAGCTAGAGGCTTAAAATTAAAATATTGCAAAACATAGTACTATATTAAAGTATTTGGAATGAATTGCTGAAATTTGAGTACTTACCGGATCAACAGCTTCAATGTTTCCAGTAAACGAAGATCCGTCACAATATGGAATGTAAACTCTGTTCCAGTTGTAGAACTCTATATATACATCCCATCCCATATAACCATATTGTATTGTATTATTATATTAATTTATCACAAACAAGCTAAGATTCAAACAACTTAATTATTTGAATAAGGTAATACACTAATTCCAGAAAATGTTAATTAAATGGTCCAGTACCAGTTAAGTTAATAAGAAGGTGTTTTAAAAAATTGGCATGAAACATAATGGTGAGTTGGTGACAGGTGACCCCAATTTCGATTCCACAGGTTTGCAAAATATATGCAATTTTCTTCTTTCAGGGAGCTATTTCTAGATTTTTTATTATTTGTAAGGTATCAACTTTAATCTGAGACACATCAAATGCTTTAATTAAAAAGTAGCTGTAAGTTTTTCAAAATTTGTATGTAATTGTTCTCTTTTTATTATATTAAGAAAAGCGAAAAAATGACTTCTCTATTACTAAGAGTTTTTCCGCACAAAAATATGACTAGTTTTTTTGGACAAAAATATGACTAGTCACTGTGTATGAGTCACTATAAAATAGTCATTATAGTGTATTTTAGAATGATAAGTCACTGCAAATGAGTCACTAAATATATACTCCGAGTGTATTTTTTTGAAAATTTTAAAATAAGTCATATTTTTGTCTATTCAATTCAATTTAGTAATATTCACGGAAAAAGGCCTAAGAGCCCATTTGGTAACACTAAAACCGGTTGATGCTACTGAAATTTCTGAAGTTCTGGCTTATGTGGCTATATTGGTTGATTCTGCTGATTAATGAAAAAAGTTAAATTTAAAATATATTTTGTTATAAAATTAAATAAAAAATTGTATGTAAAAATAGCTAAAATGGTCCTCTACAGTAACTTCAGCCGAAACAGCCAGAAAAGTAACTCCAACTTTACTTTTTCTTATTTACCCATTTCAGTATGCGAAATCAAAAGTTACGTGTTTCGTGAAAACTGTTATCAAACGGGCTATAAGAAAGGTACTTAGTTCTTGGATAGACATTAATTATTAGGCCGGCTGGACTCTCGAGCTCTATATACAATCCTTCGTTCTTTAAAACGAAGTAGTTACAACGTTTTGACTTTCACGTTTGTCAAACACACAAGTTTTACTGTAATTATATTTAATTATATATTTATCGGTAAACATTATAAAAAGTCAATATTTCGGAAATTCACATTAATAGAAATTTAATAACTTTTTATATTGCACATAATAATTTTGCACATTAGCAGAAAATTGTGGTTAGTGTTGCACATTAATAAAGTGTTTGAATAATGCATAAACTACAATTGTTGCAATTATTGAAGAATGGAGGAAGTATATAATATGGCGTGGTATAAACTCGGAAATATTAATAAAACATTCAGGCTGCATGAAAACTAAAACCCCTTAATTAAGTAAAGAGAGGATTCCATAAATAAGAGTAAACATGTTTTGGAATTTCAAATTAGGACTATCATGTTTTTTATTCCCTGTCTAGGAGTAAATTTATGCCATGTTTGACATTACTATGCTGTAAACATTACTTTTTTTTTCTAAAATTGGCAGAATTACTACTTTTTAGGGAATAAATACAAGAAAGTCCTATTTTGAAATTCAAAATATTTTTACTCATATTTAGGATAATTTCTATTAAATAAACAAAAAGATAAATAAATAATTATTTTACCAGGATTATCCGTGGAATTACTGGAAAGATAGGAAGAATTGAAGGTGATAGATTTCTCCAAGTGATTCGAAGTTCCAAAGTCTGATTTGCTGCGATCTTTGCATTCTGTCGCATCAGTGCACCATCCTCCTCCCTTAAATGCAGTACACATTAATTAATCAACTCAACTGATAATATTTTACAATAAAATCAAAAATTTAATAATAAAAATATATTCTTTGTCGTCTCACTAAACTTCACTAGCTAAATCGACTTTTTTACTATGACAATGATTGTTAAACAATAATTTTAAAAAATTTATACTCCCTCCGTTAAAGATGTCCCCTTTCCCTAAATGGAAAGTTCGTTATCATACATTAAAACGGTGCCAAACAGTGCAAAACAGTGTCGAAACAGAATCGAAACAGTAAAATTTACCAACTGATAAATTTATTTCCTTAATATTTGTGTAGGTCAAACCGGGAACATTTTTGTGATTGATGTCATTCAATTTAAAAATTTGTCATATGCCGCATGAATATACATAGTACTAAATACTACCCCCGTTCTCTTTTAATTGCAACATTGGACTTTTAGCACAATTCACATATTCTACTTTGACTATATTTTATTAATTAATGTATTATAATTTTTTTTTTTAAATATTGTTAAACTCTTCTTATTCTAAAATTTCAAAATATGAATTTTTTAATTTTTTTACTAATAAGGAATGAAAGATGTTAATGATCAAACTTGTGCGTTGGCAAACGTGAAATGTTGACTGTTATAATTAAAAAGGAAGGAAGTACTTCGTAATAAATTTGACTCTAACTTTCGTCTATGTTTCATCATTTGACTCTAACTTCGTAGTACTAAACTTTTGCCGTAATATTTATAACATGAAAAATGTTCATTTTTAAAATGATTTATCAATTTCGTACAAACACTCTGTATATTAATCAAAATGATGATTGAGTACAGACTATAAGAATGGATCGGATTAAAAAGAATACGTAGTAATAATTATATTACTTGGAGGTAAATGACCCAATTGTGACGCCCGGGACCAAACCCTTGGTCATGGTAGTATGCGGATGGACTCCCATCGAGACATACTGCAAATCGAGTAATTGAACACACACAATTCCATCAATGTTGCTTGTGAATTTAAATACTATCCTCCGTCTCTTTTTAATCGCAACATGTTGAATTTTACACTATTCACATGTTCTACTTTGACTACATTTTATATTATTATTTTATGAACTTTATTTTTTTTAATTATATTGTTTAATTCATCTCATTACAAATTTTCAAAATCTAATTTTTAAATATTTTTTACTAATAGGGATTAAGATATAATTGCGGTCAAAGATGTACATTGGCAAGCGTGAAATGTTGACAGTTGCAATTAAAAAAGAACGGAGGAAGTATGTAATAATATAAATACAGATCATAAATAAAGGATAGGATCTGGCAACGTACGAACCGGCTCCTTTTTCCATGGACCCGTTAACGTATTTTAAATGGACTGGTCGAGACTCCGCAACGGTAGTAGTAGCAGTAAAAGCAATAACCATCCAAAAACTGTAAAGTAGAACTCCGGCCATTGTTGAAGATGAAGCTATAAGTACGTAGAAGATGAAGCAAGCTATCTAGCTAGCAGCGGAACAGATTGTGCACAACATAGACATATATATACGCAAGAAAACATTAGATATATAATTCTGAGCTTACGGGATGGGAGATGACACGGGCCGCCGGGCCGGAGCGCATTTACGGCTGGTTTCCGATCTGGGGCAGGCACAGCCATGTGCGTATTCATGCATGCATGGAGACTTAGCCCACCCATCACGCCATCTACGTACGGAGCCATTATTTTTAACACCAAGTCAATATGTCCCATCAATATAGGACACATAATTTTAAGTTGAAAGGAGTACATACGAATGAAGCTTTAATTTTCCGTCAACACCAAAGTTAATACTACCTCCGTCCCCCTAAGTTTGGGGCAAGAGAAGGGTGACACGGTTGTTAATAAAAGTGAGGTTATGTGGTTGATATTGAAATGATAAAGTAAGAATAAAGCAGGAATGATTTAGAGCCACACAAATTTTACCAAATAAGGTGTGAGACAATCTTAGTGGGACGGACCAAAATGGTAAAATGAGACAATCACAGCGGGACGGAGGGAGTATATCTCATTTGATTTTGACACAATTTTTAAAAAAGTGGTTGAAAAAGTAAAAGTTGTGGTTGAGATTTGAGTATAGTAAAGTGAAATGTTGTGAACCACATATTTCTTTCCAAAAAGAAAAAAGTGACACTTATTTTGAGACAATCTAAAAAGAAAAGTAAGACAGGTAAAATGAGACGGAGGGAGTATTTTTTTAATTTTCTTTCATGGAAATGGGGCGGCTATGCGTCTTTTCACTCATTATTTGCCCCTCGGTCTCATGTTTTGTCATTGCGAATAGTTCTTAGATATATACAACTCCTACCTTTTTAAAAAATCGCTACCGTATATACTTACTGCATGTTTGGCACACATAAGTCACTGCCTTCTAGCTTTTGTATTGTTTAAAAAGTCTCTGTTAGAGATATTTTCATTATATTGTGATCAATGTTACTTAGCTCTTTATATTTAGCATCTTAATTAAATAGATTAGCTAGAATAATGAATAGGCCTTTTAAGGCAATTTGTAATAAAAGGTTTTATACCTTTACAGGTATGGGCCTCCTAGAAAAAGGAGCCCAAATGATTGTAAAACCTACCTTTCCCGTCAGGCTATATATATATGCCTTAAGGGAAAGGCTAGGTTAAGCTTTTCAGATATTCTCATACCCTAGTGCCGCAGAGCCTATATCGGTGATAGAAGTTTTACGCTAAGTTTTGTTCATCATTCTGTAAACTTCTTCATCATTCAATGGAAAGCTTCATTCCCAGATCTATCTTCCATACATACATTCTATAGACTAGAAAACAGGGACCTAACATCTGGTATCAGAGCCGGAGCTGATCGATCGATTGAAGGCTGAAAATCACTCCTGCGCGATTCTTCATCGTTGAAGTTTCGCACTTGAGCGATTTTTTTGTTCTGTTTTTGTTGCGATTTTTGCAGGAAAATGCCTGAAGAAAAGTGTTTCTAGGCTTGCTGGGATCATCTCTGTGAAAAATCTCTATCTGAGAGTTGGCGTACAGGTTAAGCTCGATTTGAGCGATTCTACAGGTTCGCGCAACACATCTGGAAGAAGAACAGATTCGCGCAATCAGGCTTCTGCGCGATCTTGAGGTTCGCGCAACACTCCCTGCGCGATTCTCAATTTGCGCCATCCTCCACTCAGTTGAGCGATTTGGAGTTCGCGCAAAATAGCCTGCGCGATTTGGTACACTTGAGCGATCCTACCCTGAGAGATTTGGACTTAGGATTTTTTTTATTTGTTGAGCGATTTTCTTTGTAAGTTGAGCGATCCTTTTTTAAAGAGTTGAGAGATTGTTTGTAAAGTTGAGAGATCCTTTTTAAGTGTTGAGCGATCCTTTTTAAAGAGTTGAGAGATTGTTTGCTAAGACTTGAGCGATCTTTTTAAGACTTGAGCGATCTTTTTAAGACTTGAGCGATCTTTTTATAAAGTTGAGCGATCCTTTCTAAAGTTGAGCAATCTTTCGTGAAGTTGAGCGATCTTCCAACACTTGCGCGATCTCACACTTACAACTTTTCTGAACAAGAACCTTCAGCCGGAATTACCTAACAACTGAACAGAATCAAATCAATCAACTGATCAGCCCGATCAAATTTTAAAATGGATGCATTATCAATCGGAAATGATACAAGACCCCCAATCCTACGAAGGGGTGAGTACAATGTATGGAAGAACCGATTTCTGAACTTTCTTGAGAGCAAGGACCAATCATCTGGTCTTCTTGATTCCATCACCAATGGACCTGCACAACTCATGATTGCTGTTGAAAGAGACAATGGGAACAATCCACCGGTTGAGATAGAATGGAGACCGAAGACTGTAGATGAATATGATGATGAGGACAGAGCAAGACTCCGAGCAGATCTCATTGCCAAGACCTATCTTCTGCAAGCCATCCCGAACGACATCTACATGCAGATTGACAGCATGTCTACAGCAAAAGAGATGTGGGATGAGATCTTTAAGATCATGCAAGGCACGGAGATCGGAGTAAAAGCGAAGAAAGCTAGCACATTCACTGCTTACGACTCATTCAAAGCCAAGCTCGGAGAATCACTTGAAGACACCTACCTGAGATTTCTGCAACTGATAAATGAGATGAGGAAGATTGGCGTGCATAAATCCAACATGGAACTGAATGTGAGATTTCTATCTTCTCTTGTAGCTGACTGGAAGAAGCTGAGCTCACAGATAAGGCACACGAAAGACCTTGATGAGATGGACATTCATGCAGTGTACAACACACTTGACCAGTATGCAGAAGATTTTTCTGATCTTGTGGTAGCCACTGTGACGACTGACAAAGGGAAGGGAGCTGTAGACAAACTAGCTGACACCCTGGCCCTGATGCTTGACAAGCCATCAAAGTCTGGTTCCAAGAAGGATAAGAAGATAGTTGAAGAAAGTGAGACTAGTGACAGTGACGCAGGAATGAGGAATGATTCAGATGATGATGAGCTGCATGATTTTCAGAAACAGATAGCCCTTCTTACCTCGAGGTTCAACAATCATATGCAGAAAAAGAAGAACTCTTCTAACAACAAGCTCCGCAAGTCCTCTTCCAGCAACAACAAGAGAAAAGAGCGATCTTTTGAATCGTCTGAGAATATTGTTGCTGAGGATGCTCCAAAGTGCTTCAATTGTGGGAAGACTGGACATCTGATGAAGGACTGCAGGATGCCTAAGAGGAAGAAGGATGATGAGTACTACAAGCAGAAGATGAATCTGAACAAGAAGAAGATGTTGCTGGCAATGGAAGAAAGTTGTGAGAAGAGTGCGCTCATGGCTGAAAAGGATCACTGGATGGATGATTCTGATGAGGAAGAGAATCTGGCCTTGATGGCAGTCGTTGAAGAAGAAGAGAAAGAGAAGGACGATGAGAAGGAAGGAAAGATGAAGTCAACCCCTGCTGCTGATGAAAAGGAGAAAGACAAAGCTGAGGAGAAGAAGAACCTGCCTACTGCAACCAATGCTGGTATAGCAACTGCCCTGACTGCTGAAAACAGAAATGCTGACAATGAAGTAAGTACCTCTAATCCATCTATTCATTACTGCTCTAGAACAGATATGCATGATAAATTTAAGGAGCTTGAGGTGAATTACAAACGGTTGTATGAGGTATATAACCAACTGCGTGAAAAACAGACATGCTCAAACATTAAGATAATCAATTCAGAGAAAAAAATCACTAAACTCACAACTGAGAATAAGCGACTTAGTGCTAGTGAGAAAGAGTTGACAGAGAAGCTTAGAACAACCGAAAAAGAAAGAATTAGGCTTTTTGGTGTCAATAATTTGCTAATGGAAAGAAGGGGTGCTCTTTATACTAAAATCAAAGAACTCGAAGACCTGTTAGCTAAGAGGGATCAAACAGACCAGACTATTTTCCTTAACCAGCCTAAGGACACTCGTTTCTATAACGCCAAAGAAGGCTTGGGTTTGACCAATCCTCAGAACCTGAAAAAGGTCAACTGTAGACAACTCTATGATGTTAGATACATGAAAATAGGATTGACCAAACTCATGGCCTTCACTGGAGCTGAAGAAACGAATGCCCTTGAGGATGAAAAGAGAAAGACAAAGGCTGGTGTAGAGGTTCCTTTTGACTACACAGAGTTAAACAAGAGCTACAAAACCAAAGCACTCCCTTTGACCCCTGCTGAAGAAATCTTGACCTATCCTCCTGAAAAGGAAGCTGAGAAAGACGAAGAGGAGGCTTCCACATCTGAACCAATTGAGAAACCAGCTTACATTCCACCATTGGTGAGAAAGTTTGCTGAGTTAAAAGATTCTTTTGAAAAGGAAAAGCAGGTTTTAGAAAAAGAAAAGGATGAACTTTTAAAAGAAATATCTTCTTTGAAAACCGCCTCTCAGTCTAACACAGCTTCTCAATCCTCTTCCCTTTCCACTTCTGAAAACACTTCTGAAAATTCGAGCGATAGTTTTAAGACTTCTCCTTCTCACCCCAAGTCTCATTCTCCGACAGGGAAAGATGTGAAGAAGAGGGTCGAGAGGAAAGGAGAGTGGATTGAAGACAAAATAAGAAGGAAGAAGAGAGAAGAAGAGTCAAGATTAAGAAATAAGTGTCAGCGGTCGAGCGCCATATTTTATGTTAAGAATAAGTCTAGTTCTAGCATTAGTGAGCCATCTACTAGTTATGCTAAGAGAGTGGCTCCTAAGTCTTCTAGTTCTAAGATTTCTGTCTCGAATCGCTGTACTAAATGTGTTTCTCTGAATTGCATAAAATCAATGAAATGTTGTTGTTCTGAGTCTGTTTCTTCTTGCAAAGCAAATGATCCTGTGATTGTTAAGAATGTTGCAAATAAGCCCAAGATTGATAGGGTGAATGTTGAGAGTGAGGTCAAATTGCCATTCTTAAGGTATCCTCTCAAGATTCACTCTGTCAAACATCTGAGAAGGCTATCATGTGAACCAATTTTGAAAGATCATTTATCTGAACAATCACTTAGGACAAATGAAA